TCAATTAACCAGCCAAAAGAAAAGAACGTTTTCCATTAAGAAACTTATTTTCTTACCAGTGCAAGAGCAATGCTCGACGTTTTTGTCTTTAATGAAAGCCACGATATTTAATAATCGGCAATTATTCGTTTTAATAAAGTCTACCATATGATCCAGTAAGTGACTAAATTGGATTGTATATTTATTGGTTTTCCTTCACCGTACGTGCGAGTGTTTTCCCATAGACAGAAAGTTCTATGGGGTAACCGAGAATACAACCTACCTCTTCAGAGAGAGAGAGTAGCACGCTGAAGCTTACACTGCTGTATATGAAGGGAATATAAACTAATAGGTAAATACTAAAATAGTTAAACCAACTCTATCAATGTGAAAGCCCATAGACAGCAGTTGTTAACATCAGGTCTATTTTAGCGCTACGAAAACCTTAACCAGTGAAACAGAATTAACACTTATCCCTTTGGGATACTTTTGAAGTCCTTTGTAAAGATCTTAAAGGAGTTATTGCGTCCTTCTCATTATAATTACATTAGGGCTTCAATTCCCAAAGCTCTTAAATGTCGAGTTAAAAGCACTCAGGTTTATAATGAGAATTGAGAGATGTGTTGCGTTTATAGAAAATTATTAAGACGTTCCTGTAAATTTGTTCATATAGAATATACTACCTTTTTTTCTTTTTTTCCATCCCCCTGAACAGGGGTATGTGGGACTCGACCCACGCCAAAATCTTTGCTATTCAGAGACTGTGTGAGCAGTGGGTATTGCTAGAACCACCTCAAGTAGTTCCGACAAAGCCGCGTTACAGAGGCTCCGGGGTCGCTGTCGCATTCTACCGGGACATATAGAATATACCTAGACAGTAAAGAAATTTATGCTACAAACCCAGTAGATAATAAATAAAAAACAAAAATCCATTGGTTTGTCAGGGTCAACGCAGTTTGAGAATCGGACATACCTAGGAACGCGCAGATAAGTCGTCATTAGATGACATCACTTTAAGAATCACAAAAGCCAGAACAACGTCTGGCAACGGCTGGCAACGTCTTAGGCCAGTTTGGCAATCACGGAAGGTGACTCGGCGAGTCAAGCTCAAAAGGAATATCAAATGCCGAAAGTTGAAGTGGATAGGCTTCGGAGGGATCAAAATCATCATTACTAAGCAAGCTCTCGACTGAAATCTTCGAGGCAATGAAAAGCTGCCCAAAACAGACCTTGCAATGAAGCACCACAGGCTGGAACGCTAGATGTGCTCTGCCCCACATGGGGGGTATTTTGGTTTTCTATTTATCCATATTTAATTATTATTACTATGTAGATTAAGAATATTGTATATACTATATATTTGTGTGTTATCAATTATGTTTGTTATCATAATTGTGTAAATTGGTTATGTTAAATACGAAGGTATTTGTATGAAAAATGTTATAACCACCCTACGCAGGTACAGTGTAACTAATAGCGATCCCCAAAGTTTTAGTATGCAATTTCTATGTAGTCAAATTTTTGATAATGTCATATGCCTAAAAAAACACAAGTGAAGAAAGTCTAGAGTCTTTATGCGGGTTTACCACGTAGCTATTGATGCAAATTACTTTATTTTAATTTTATAATGTTCAACGATACATTTCTGAATGGTATTCTAAAACTTTTAGTTCTTGCAAGTTATAATGTCTTTGTGTCTAATCGAATTGCTTTACAAATTCGATTTGGGAATTTCTAAGCTAAACAAGCCATTATGTATCGTCGGATGATGCCATTAACCACGACTACTGACTATAGACTTACAATTTTGCGAGAAATAGGCGAGCGTTAAATGACTTCTAGATGTGCTCTGCATACATTGTATAATGTTCAAGTACATACAATACACTGCGTATTTTGTTAAAAAGACTGTAAAAGATGTGTAAACGAAAAACGCAATGGTTGATAGGGATACAGACTGTATGGTTACAGGATAATTTTAGGTACTACCTAGCACAGCTTGTGGTAAGTCAGCCTGCAACCTCTTAAGCGTAAAATGAACTAGATGCAAAGGTAAATTGAACAAGGGAATATATTCAAGGGGTAATATTCCAGAAGGTCACGTATAAAGAAGCTTATACTTACGATTTAACTTGTGTTACAGAATACATAAACGAAAATTTGATTAAGCATAGTTTTAAAGTAGTGTTTGCCTAGTGGCACGCTCTAGCCTTAACAACTCTACTTCATACCTGTGGTCGTAGGTTTGAAACCCGGTTAGGAATGAATGGATTTACTGTCTATACAGGCATATAACACTTGTGAAGGAAGCCGTGCTTAAGACCCAAAACGACGGCGTGAGACTAGAGACAAATGAACGACTTGCCTATAAGAAAAACAAATGATGCAGAAATCTGAGGCCCAGTCCAAGAGCTACTATTTTGTATAGTATTTAATATAGCTTAGTGGTCAAACGTGTCATTCTTAAGCTTTACTTTGGCAGATTATGTTCTCGTTTCGCGCTTGCTTAAAGATGTATAACATGTAAATAGTAACAATTAAAATCTGTTTCATTTCTAGGGACTCTATTCGTTATGTGTGAATAATACACAAACAAGGCCGGCAACGCACTCGCTCTCTGGCATTGTGAGTCTCCAAGGGCGGCGTTATCACTTAACATCATATAAGCCACCTGTCCGTTTGCTGTATAAAATAAATATAGTTTAAAAAAACTAACACGCTTTCAAAGCACATCAAACTAAAAAGTGAAAAATAATTCCTAATTTAGCTTTGCTGAAAATGGTAATGACTACAAAAATACCAGTTTTTTGTGAAAAAGCGTGGTTAGCTCGATAGACGAAAAATTTTGCACAGAGCGCCCCAGCGCTTTTTAGTGTGTTTTATAGTTTTTTTAAACTATATTTATTTTCCACTTTTTAGTCCTAGCAGCAATACGTGTTGTCTCAATTTAATCGTATTGCTTTGTGGACTTAAAAAAAATTTCATTGTTTTTTCGAGATAAACCTATGAAATTATTATATTGTCGCTGATTCTTTATAAGTGTACAAAGTTTGAATTAAATCTGTCCGTTTAAAGTGGGTCAAAATCGAGTCCGAAGGAGTCGGTTTTTTTTTTTTTTTTTCTTATATAAAAATACATACATATACATACATACATACATACAGGTGAAGCTAATATAAAGCGTGTAAAAAGGAATGTTGTAAAAATTTAAAAAGAGAACCGGCATGGAAGTCGTGCGAACTATTATCATACTTATTTGTCTATTCACAAAAATTATATACTTTTATTTCGACGTCAAACTATAATGACGTAACAGTGCTATCAATATAACAAAAAGGGTATGTTAGCTCTGCAGCCTTACCACCAGAGAAACTTAAACCTTAAAACTTATTTAAATAGTGCGGTACTCATTCCGCACAGACTTTTTCAATCTTGCATTGACGGTCATGGTAACCATTAATAAAACATTATTGTACGCAAATGAATTTTTAAAACTTTTAACAGTACTTGCAAAATTTTGATTATTAAGATGTTTTAAATACAGATAAATACAGGTACAGGTTTACTTAAAATATATAAACATAACAGGTCGAAAATCTCATTAGTTACATTGTATGCGATACGTATTTGATCATACAGCATGTATAAAATAAAACAGTTATTATCTAATTTCACATAATATGCTATTAAGCTGTTATACTAAACTTTCTATGTTTATTACAAATATACATATACTCCGCGAAAGCTACACGCCCGATATTTATCGTGATATTTGGATCGTAATCCAGAATTCGGATGGGGAAAGGCGGGGCTTGGGATAGGGGCCGCGGGATTTCCAAAAATAAAAAACCCCCCGCTGTGTCTATTTTCCCCCGAAAAAAAACCGGGGGCCGGGGGGGGGGGGGTTTTTTTTCCCCCCCCCCTTTTCCCCCCCCGGGGGGGGGGGGGGGGGGGGCCGGGGGGGGGGGGGGGGATTTTTTTTTTAAATAAAAAAAATCCACCCTTCTTCCCCAACCCCCCCGGGCGGGGGGGGGGGCCCCCCCCCCCCCCCCCCCCCCCCAAAAAAAAAAAAAAAAAAAAAAAAAAAAGGGGGGGGGGGGGGCGGGGGGGGGGGGGGCCCCCCCCCCTCTTTTTTTTTTTTTTTTTTTTTTTCCCCCCCCCCCCCCTTATATAAAAAAAAAAAAAAAAAACCCCCCCCCCCCCCTTTCTTTTTTTTCCCCCCCCCCCCCCCCCCCCCCCCCCCCCCCCCCCCCCCCCCTCCCCCCCCCTCCCCCCCCCTTGGTTTTTTTTTTTTTTTTTTTTTTTTTTTTTTCTCTTTATACTCCGCGATATTGAAACTGAAATTTTCCGTTCAAAACGCCCTCTATCATGAAATTTGTTTCGGTTAGGTATAATGTATACACGGAACATATATGTTTTAAATTCATAAAATATTGATAAATGAATATGTTTTAATGAGGTTCAATATTTGTTTAAAACGTTATTATAGTACCTAACATTAGCCAAAATGTAAGCTTTTAATTACTTTTAGTTCCACAACTGAGCGTTATTTAAACTTGCCGCGCACCACCACTATGTGGAGCTGCCCACTGAAGTATTTCTGAACCAATTCGACTTAGGGTCCTTCAAGAAAAGAGCATGCCAATTCTTAAAAGGCCGGCTGCGCTTGCAAGCCTTCTGGCAGTGTGACTGTCCATGGGCGGCGGTATCACTTAACATCAGATGAGCCTCCTTCCCGTTTGCCTCCTATAACACAATTTAAGTAACCAGGTAATATAAAGGTGCGTGAGTTTCATATTATTTATTTTTACGAATCATTTTTAATAAAAGAAAGTAAGTATGCGTTTACTTAAAACAATCCTGTATAATAATAAGTTATAGAAAGTTAAGCATATATAACAATGTTGCTATCTTAATTTTTTATCAATAAAAATAATACACAAAGGTCAATTTGGATCAGTTGACGGGTATAAAATGGGTTTGGGAATCGGTAAAATCACAGTCGAGTGGGATTGTGGAAGATGAAGGTCCTACTTTGTGTTTTGGGGCTTATTGCCCTGGCTTCGGCCAGACCAGAGCTTGACGATACTACTATCGGTAAGTTTTTTTAAAGTGCAATATTCATAACAATTAGTTTAGAAAAACACTTTTTAACCGGATTGAAGTTATGTTAACGTTGTTGTTATGAAACGTCGGTTAAATTTAAAATTATGTAAAATAATTGTAAATTTATAATAAAACATAACTTCAATCCGGTAAAAAAGTGTTTTTCTATGTGTAAAAAATATGGCAATAAAAGACAATATTATAACAATTAGTTTGTTTTTAGATGCAAAAAATCTAATTAAATTTAAATCTTATAAGTCCTCTTTAGTCTTAAAATTTTATCCTCCATACGTATCCGTTAGATTCGTTTAGTGTGGGGTTCTTAATTTGAATCTTGAGATGAATGGCTTCTAGAAATAATTTGTATGTATTCGCAAAAACTGTATTTTATTTCAGTCAACTGGGATGTTAAGCAGAGGCAGATGTTTATTCTGAAGCTGCTTAACAACATCCTACAACCATGCATGTACAAGGATATTGAGGAAATCGGCAAGAACTTCAAAATTGAGGACAACGTTCAGTTATATGGCGTAAGTTACCTGAACTTGGGTAGCAGTCTTTTGATATTTTTCCTAAAAAATAATTAACATAATTAATTACAGAAACAAGATGTTGTGAAGACTTTCTTATCTCGCACGAAGGAGGGTTTCTTACCTCGTGGTGAGGTATTTACTCTTCACGTTGACAGGCAGTTGAAGGAGGTTGTGACCCTCTTCCACATGCTGTACTACGCTAAGGACTTCGCCACTTTCATTAAGACAGCATGCTGGATGCGTTTCTACGTCAACGAGGGTATGTTTGTCTACGCCTTGACTATTGCCGTCCGCCACCGTGACGACTGCAAGGGCATCATCCTTCCTCCTCCATACGAAATCTACCCCTACTACTTCGTCCGTGGTGATGTCATCCAAAAGGCTTACTGGCTTAAAATGAAGAAAGGTCTCCTTGACCGCAAGCTGTGTGACTTCTACGGAATCAAGAAAACCGACAAAGATGTCTACATCATCGATGAGAATGTTTTCGATAAGAGAGTATGGCTGAACGACGAAGACAGGCTGCGTTACTTCACAGAAGATATTGATCTAAACACTTACTACTACTACTTCCACATCGACTATCCATTCTGGATGAAGGATGATGTTACCACTGTTAAATGGATGGACAGGCGTTGGGAAATGACACTTTACGTCTACCAGCAGATACTGGCCCGTTACTATCTGGAACGTCTTTCTAATGGCTTAGGAGAAATTCCCTTATTATCCTGGAACAAACCAATCAGGAAGGGATACTGGCCTTGGCTTAAACTGCATAACGGTCTGGAATTGCCCGCAAGATGGAACGACCACATTGTTGTAAAGGATGACAACATTAAAATTGTTAAGTTAATCCAAGATTACGAGAAGATCATTAACGACGCTATCATTAAGGGATTCGTTGAGGTAAGTCAAACAATAGGTACATCAATTAAGGAGCATTATTTTTATTTTTTCAATTTCAACATACTTTCATTATTTTGCAGATTAACGGCAAACGATTTGAATTGACCGAGCCAAAACACATTGAAAACTTAGGAAAACTCATTTACGGTGCTGTCTACAAGAACGACATGGACCGTACTCGTGTAGAGGCTTACCGCTACATGCTCATCCTTATGAAGGCTGTCGTTGGACTTAACACTCGGGCATCTGATAAGTACGAAATATTTATATAGCTTACCTCATTTATGCTTCAAGATTAATTATCAGAACTTTCTTCGCGAAATTTTCGAATTTAACACCGTTTTTTATATTTCAGGTGGTTCGTCGCACCCTCCGTTCTGGACTCGTACCAAACAGCTCTTCGTGACCCAGTCTTCTACCAATTACAAAAACGTCTGTGCTACCTGTTCATGCTTTTCAAGATGCGCCTTCCCAGCTACACCCATGAAGAACTCTACTTCCCCGGAGTCAAGATCGACAACATTGTCGTTGACAAATTGGTCACTTACTTCGATGACTACTTAATGGACATTACCAACGCTGTTACATTCACGGAAGATGAATTGAAGAAGACCAAATCTGATATGACCTTCCTAGTACGTAAACGTCGTCTGAACCACCGCGAATTCAAGATGACCTTCGATATTATGTCTGACAAGGCTGTTGACTGTGTTGTAAGAGTTTTCTTGGGACCTAAGGAAGACAACTTTGGCCGTTTAATAGACATCAACACGAACCGTGTCAACTTTGTTGAGCTAGACACCTTCCTATACAAACTTAACACAGGAAAGAACACCATTATCAGGAACTCATACGACATGCACAACCTGGTTCGCGATCGCGTTTTGATGACTGACTTCTGGAAGAAGATCGACACCATTACAGACATTAAGGATCTGTGGTGGAAGGACTTTAAGAACTGGCACACCGGCTTCCCTACTAGGCTGGTTCTTCCCAAGGGTACCACCGGTGGCATGAAGTTCCTGCTCTACGTGATCGTCACCCCTCTGAAAATGGTTGACAACATGGACATTACTATGCTTGACGACAAGCGCAAAGACCGCGTTATGGACTGGAGATCAACAGTCTTGCTGGACAAGATGCCTCTTGGCTTCCCTCTGGACCGTACAATTGACGTTGCCAAATTCTTCACCCCCAACATGAAGTTCGTAGATGTTATGATCTTCCACAAGAGCCAAGTCTGCGACATGAAAACCCGTTGGGACAAATATGTGCTGAGGAACTACGATATGTTCGACAGAGCAGTTGAGGACCGTTACCTTACGGATGTCGACATAAACATGAAGAACGACAGAGATGTCAACGTGTTTGACCTATAAGAACTTTGAAAACTATTCTTTGATCACGACCTAACGCATTACAATCGGACCACGCAACCGTAGTTTTAGTGAAAGCAAATATGTGTATAAAATACAATTAAGTCAATAGATGAAGCTATTTATTAATATAATACATCTTTTATTTTATCCTTAAAACTTATTACATTACCATAGATCGATACTGTACAATCCTGATTTTACATTATAAATACCATTGTATGAAACATTAATAAATTTTTATTAACAAAAATATGGATGGTTTTAATAGATAGCTTTTAATGATAGCTAACCTAGAAAGCTTAGGAGTACAAATAAACATGCTAATATTAATAACACGTCATGATTATAGATGCCTTTGTGGTAGTTTAAACTCGATACAATTATGGTTTTAGGTATATAGTGACAATCTTACTTTTAAAAATGGCATTAAAACTGAAGCAGAAAGAAGTGAGTGAGTGCCGTACTTAAGACACAAACATGAATACTATACATCAAAAAATTCTGGGTGATTATGATCGTAATACCCCTGCAACTAGTAGTGAATTGCGTGATTTTTCCGTAGCAATATTTCTATTTTATAACACGTTTACTTGACAATACGTGACTCATCCAGGCGTTCTTCGGATTCATAGGCTGACATTTATGAATCGTACTCATAGTTCCAAACTGGTTTAGTTACTTTTGTCCAGATGATTGGCTGATGAATTTGCAATTAATAAAAAATATTAAATTATTAAAATAAAATTCTTATTCGTTCCCCGTGGTCCTAATTGTAATCGGCGGTCCAGCCCGGCGCCCGCGCCCCACTCCCGCCGGCGCAGATCATTCCTCGCGTAACAGCTCCCCGCCTTGGGAACCCTGGTTACCAAGAGACTCGTCCTCTGTTGATACTGGTAGCAGACAGACCCTGCCTAAGGCCCTCTGATTACGCCACGTGAGGTCTGAAATCGGCTACTCGAATGATGCCGTCTGCCCCTGGATAAGTTTCTTAACTCGTCCCAAGGCATGCATTGGGGGAAGGTTGTCGTCCTGATGACAACAAATCGCCCTCTTTGAGTGTTCCCCTCTGCTCTCGCCACTAGTCCGCTGCTGCAGCTCACTAAATATTCCCTATGAAACCGTTCCCAGAAATGCCGCTTAAGCTGTTCCAATTTTTGGTATTGTTTGGATAATTTTAAAATAGGTGGTTCTGGTAAAGCTGTCACCGGCATAAGGAAGTGCCCTGAGTCAAGGAGTAACATCGGAAGGGTCTGACGTTAGAGAGTTAACGGGCGGGAGTTAAGAATTGCTTCAATCTGGGTGAATAGTCTAGCTCCTCAACGTCAGGTTCGCATTTCCTATTACATTTCATTATAACTTTGCTGAACGGATTCCAGCCTCTTCAGCCTCATGAGGGAATAAGCGGGCGAAAAATGAAATTTAATGCCCTCGTCGTGGGACCACTTACAGAACTTTGGCTTGCCTGCAACATTCTGCCTAGCTCATTATTTGCACCCACAAAGTTGGTGCCATTGTCACAATAAATATCATGAGGCTTGCCACGACTGATATAAATCTACGCAAACACATTAAAAATGCTTCAGTACTCAGACTACTAACACCTCCAAAGTTAATGCCTTAGTCTTAAACACACAAAAAGATAAGCCAACATTTGGATATCTTACATCCTCTGCCCTTTCGGTCTACGATTGAGAAGGGCCCGCCAAAGTCTACGCCTGTCGCGAGGAAGGGATAGGTAAGAGTGACTCGAGGAGGGGGTAGTTACCCATCATAGGCTGTATTGAGTTACTCTGCATACGAAACACACGATACATTTCCTAAATGTACTGCGTGCAAGATTACGTCCCGATTGGCCAATATTGATCTCGTATAATGCTAAGTAATAATTCAGGCCCACAATGTTTATGACGCACATGTTCTTTCTGAAAAACAGTTTCGTAAAGTTATGACGTGCACATAATAAAATGGGATGTTTTTTAGAATACTCACAGATTGAGTTTTGGATTCTGCCTCCAACCTAATCAAATCATGCTCATCTAAGTAAGGGTTTAGTGACAAAATTCGATTATGATGTATCTTTTTATTGTTTTTTAATGATTGCCCTCATTGGAAAGGAATCTTGTTGGCAGGTTTTGATTAGGGTCTGAGTAGACCTTCTATTTCTCGTTACTCAGATCACCACTTAGCCGCGAATCCTTCTTTGTTTTACAATTGTGAATAAATCTTAAGATATATCCTACCACCCGGATCATTCGTTGAAATTTCGAGAACCTATCAAACTCAAATGAATGCTCAAGACACACAACATGAATATACTTGAGCTCCAAGTCAACATTTCTATAGGAGGCTTGGCCACTCCGTTTTAGGTTTCATTAAAAAGGGTGGGCCACTCCACCATAATTCTAAATCTTGAAGCTTGCTAGGGCTGACTCCTCGAGAAGCTATGTCTGCTGGATTTATTTCTGTAGAAATGTGATGCCATGTAGATTTGTCAGTCAGTTCATGAATTTCATTTACTCGATTGTAAACAAATTGCTTTAGATTACTAGGGTTGGTATTTTTAATCCATCCCAGACAATTGTAGAATCACTCAGAAATATTTTTGATCAAACTTACGACTGAGTGACTACAACTTTGAACTTAACTGAGCCAAGTAGGGCCGCTGCCAGTTCCAGCCGCGGTATGGTACTGGGCTTCAAGGGGCAACTCTAGCCTTGGCGCATAATAACTTGACTGATAGTTGTCCTCTTGATCAGTACAAGTTAATACACATGCTGCAAATGCACTCTGGGAACTATCGACAAAACAGTGTAATTCCACTGACACTGGAGTGTCCGAGATGGATGCAAAATGGGTGGAATATTTATCGCTTTTATTTGATTTAAATTATTTACAAAGTCACTCCACTGTTTCGATACATCGGCGGACCCAATCATCAGTCAGTTTAGACTCCCACAATTTAAAGCATTTAGGAACAATTGACAACTACAACCCTAGGGGTCAAAAATTTGCATGTTGTGCCAGAATAGTTCTCTTTGTGAACGGCTGTTCAATCGAAAGTCGACTGAATACAGCTTATCCTGAGGGACACAATTCAACCCCAGCACTGAGGATTGATTCTGTAAGTTAGAGTACTGATCATGTCTGGGATAAATCTTTTCAGTACATGTGGTTGAAATGGATTCACTCGCAAATATACTCGGAATGTTAGTTCTAAATTTTCTAATGGGAGGCAAGCCTCAGCCAACTTGTCGACGACTGCATCACGTAATATTTGAGTTCTGTTTTGTTATCACAACCGGTTATAAGATCGTCACAGTAAAAATGTTTTTTAGTATTAGCTACCGTTTGTCTGAAATTTTATAATGAAAAAACTGGTGGTCAGATAAGGGGCTGATGCTTCCCATACGTTACAGTATTGAGCTGCAATGTTCGCAAAGGCTGAGCTTCATTGTCTCGCCATAATTCAGCTGTAAGTGACGTTGCGATTCATCAGTTTTACTTGACGGAACATTTTTTCAATGTCCCCGTTAATACATACTTGTGCTGGCGGAATCGCAACAAAATTGACATCAAATATTTTTACTATGGGCCCAATCGGATATCATTTAACGATTACCTGATGCTGTGCGAGCAGAGCCGTTAAAAAGACCGAAGTTTTTGGTCTCCTTTCTCTCGCAGCACCGCGTGATGAGGTAAATAATTTCCAATAGGCTTCTCTATTTCTGTCAAATGACCTAAGTAGCATTTCATGTATAAAATCACTATAATTTCCTTTAATTTCGGCTGCTTTTGGAAAGCCTTTCCAAATTTAAAAACATCTCTTAGCAAGTGAGTAAAGTCTCCAAAGCCTCAGGAGACTCCGCAAAGGCATTTTACTTGGAATCTACCAGACGTAAGCGAATTGTATTTTCATTAAAGGAATCTTCACAGATTTGTTCATCTGTTGACAATGATCGTTTTGGCATTATGAAATTTTCCAAGTCCCAAAATTTAGAAAGTGAGTCTTTAATTTCCTGACTAAAATGAATAAGATTTCTTGTTACACTTCACAGATGGCATGGCCAGAGTCATGGGCCCTGAAACCAACCATCAAACTTCGAATAAATTAACTTAGGTTTATTTTCACCTAACGATATCTGGCAACCTCCTTAACAATATTCCACATTACATCGGACCAATTAATATATCAACTTTGTTACTTTATGGAAGCTTGGATCGGCGAGTGCAGTATTGTTGGGTATGTTTAAATCCTCGGATCGATTTCTACACTAGGTAAGTTTTCTGAAATATTTGATTATCATACAATGTACATCCGTAGTGTAGGCATTAATTCTTACTTTAATTTTAATGTACAATATTCAGTGGCTGTAGATATTGAATTGTTCAGTCCACTTTACACCGTGACTTAGTACTATTAGTTTTATTTTAAGTTTATTTTTCAGGTTATCTGTACAAACGAACTTTGACTTCCACAGTCCAAAAGAACGCGTGCCAGGTAAGTACTGTTGTCACGCTCAACGACGACTTCAACCACTGCAGTGCCCAGGAGGACTTCGCTGTTACTCGAGTATGAGGTAAGTGTGGTCAGAACAGTGCTAGTGCTAGCCACAGTATTCAAATTTTGTTTTCATGGTTAGTGTTTTGTTTTACCTCGTTAGTTTGTAAGTTCAAGTTACTTTCGTTTTGCAATACTTATTGACACTTTATTTTATGACTAATAAACTATTATGCTTTTTGTTACAGGCTCTGCAGGAGCTGAGACGACAGTTGGAGTGGAATCCCTGAAAGAAATTGGAGCAGAGCTTGCGTTTGGAAACTTCTGCTTCCCTGGCTTCGATACTCAATTTTAAATTGATCACATTTATACACACGATGATTCTCATAATAAAAATGATCCATTTGGCGTAGATGAGAAAAAAAGTTTTAATGTGTCTTGGTTCCTTACTACTAACAAACTTTCATTTCTATTAACCTGAACTGCTCTAGAGCCTTGGACG